AACATAAACAAAAAAAGGGGGAAAAAATCTCAAGAAGCAGTGTTGAATGATTTCCAGGGCTAATGGCTTTTAGTCCCAACACAACCAAATGACAAAATCAAATTTTAAAACCCGGGGGGGAGGGGGGGGTCCATTGCAGAAACCATGATCATATAATCTAAATTAGGAATCCACACTATCCAATGCACTGCTTATTCAGGGCTTAAGGAAGGATAATGCAGACTTCAACTTCATGTATATTTAAAAACACAGACAATTACTAGTGCCACAATATTATCTTGGATAAAGGAACGAAAAATACAAAGTGAATGTGACCAACAACAAAGCAATAGAGATATTCTAAAGTTTGAAAGAAGTCCCCAACATTGTTAGAAAACATAGCTAACAACTGATGTCATGCCCTAAGCCCATTGCACTCATGCGAGAGAGAGAGAGAGAGGTCTAAGCACTAACTGCTCGTGCCATGGAAGGTCAAGGCCAAAAATGTTTCACACGAGTTAACCTTGGGCCATGGTTAATCACTTATAAGTTCCTTCTCTCTTCCCAGTTCCCACTAATTTGGGACAAACCCTGCTTGAGGTATCACAATGGAAACTGAGTGTATGTCGAAAGACTTGATCTAAACATTTTAAGACACATTCTTTCATATTTTACATTTTCCCAAGAACTTCTCTTTTTTTCCAGTAAAACACACCTCTCATAATTTTGTGCAGTATCAACGCAATTCATGAGATACCTCATCATTATCAGAAGGCACTGAACACGCCAACTGGGGCCAACAATCCTCCTCAGGTCCTATTGTACCATATTCCCCTCTGCTTACAATGGACTGCATCAGAAACCAAAACTTACTGAGTTATGATAGCTTATGCAATCATGATGAAATCCTTCTTTTAGTAATATGACCCTCTTTTTAATAGCTTATGCAATCATGAAGAAGAAAATGCATCATATTTCTTCCACTATGACATGGGTATGATATGAAAAGCTATAATGTTTCTTTCAAGTAGCCATAGCACGCTAACCTTAGCATAAGGATCGATCAATATTTTTGAAGAATTAAAGTAATGCCCTTCTTCTGGGGAGAACTCCCCATCAAATTTGTATCCGTAAACCATATTTTCAAAGTCTCCTGTCAGAAACACATGCCACACATCTCCAGTTTTATTGGTCAGGGGATTCAAAGAGATCTGCTCAGTCACTCTTTTCTGCAATATGATAACTAGGATCAAGAAATACACAATCAAAAGAAGATTATTCCAAAACATGATAAACAGAACCTGAACATTTTCTACTAAGGCTATGTTTGATACAACTTCTTTTCCATGGAAAATGGAAAAGAATTTCCATCTTCCACTTTTTTTATGTTTGATAGGCAAAAAGTCATAGGGAATTGGTTTTCCACTTTTCCTCCACACGGTCTCATTTTCTCCCTTTTCATTGAATTGGTTTTCCCACTTATGTGGTGGCTTTTTAAATTCCAACTTTTTTTTTTCGTTTTTCTTTTTTTTTTTTTGTAACGGGAACAAATTCTATGAACAATTGTAAAAGAGGATATTCCTTAAATTGAAAATTTTCATATAAAATAAAGACAAACGAACACCAAAATATAGATGATTTTTGGATCTATTTTATTTTTTTCTTTTTTCTTTTCTTTTTTTTTTTTTTTGCAATAGAAACAAATTCTAGGAACAATTGTAGAAGTGAATATCCCATAAATTAACAATTTTCATGTAAAACAAAGCAAAACGAACACCAAAAATACACTTTTGTTTCAACATTGGAAAATTATAATAATCAAACACAATAATTTACAATTCTTAAGAAAATAATTTCTAGGCAATTCAATTTCTTGAAATTCATTTTCTTTCCACCCAAATTTCATCTTTGCAATCAAAATAAACCAAGTTTTTTTCGTCTGTCCTACTAAACCTCTTTTTTTTTTGAACTTCTTTGAGTACAGTGTAAGAATATAAGAATTTCTTATCTACTGTACTACTTGTTCACTGATGCTTCAAATTAAAACAAATCAAACGTTATCCACCTGAATTTAACTCGAATATAACAAAAAAATCTTATTAGAAAAAAAAAAAAAAGGTACAAAATTGAGAGCAATATTTGCGGCAAAAAACTAATGACCTCGGATAAATCAGAGAGATTGATCAAGCAAAGAGTAGCAGACGTAGCATTGCTGGAGGAAATAGCAAAATTAACGCCGCCATCTCTCAGCGTGGCACCGAAGGGCATCGGGTGACCGGAAAACACCTCAAAACGACGCAGCTTTGGCGGAGGTTTCTCGACCACCACTGAAGTCTCAGCATCACCTCTATCGGTAGCATCATTCACAATTAACAAAGAATTGGGTTTTCTTACGGAATTTTCAAAAGATTTTTGTGAAACTCCAAAATTTATTTTGCTTTTCCCGAAATGGAAAGAATTTGTTGGAGGGAATTTGGGTGTGCAATTTGAGAGTGAAGAACAATGAAGTAACCCCATATTTGATAACCGAATGCGAATTTAGGGAATCAAAAACCTCTTACACATAATCTTGGATGGTAGATTCAAGATTGTACAGAGTACAGTGTGTGTAAAGTCGTGACTTGGGAATTTGGAGTGGCAGAGGAGAGTGATGTGAAGTACATGGCAGTGTTTGTATCTCTGTGTTAAGTTACTATTTTATTATTTTGACTAATTTTTAAATTAATTTACTTTGACGGCTATTATTATTTTTTTTTTTTTAAATGATATTTTTAGAGGGTGTTAGAGAGATATTTTTATGTAAAAATATATTTTTGAATAGTAAATTGATGAAAAATGTGTGGTTGAAACATAAAGAAAAAAATTTTATTTACTTGCAATATTATTTTAATAAAAAATGTGTGGTTAAAAAAAAAAGAGAGAAATGTATTTTGATAAAAATAGATACCAAACGAGATATAATGATCTTTTGAAGAATATTTGCTTAAAAAGTATGAAAAAAAGGGTAATTAATACAAAAAACCATACCTTTTAATATTATTGTGGAAAACGTCTCTATCTTTCATTTTTAACATTTTTGCCTTTATTTCAAAGTTTCATTGTAGAAAAATTCATTTTCTCTATTTTTTAATATAAATGACAAAAATACCCTTCATTTAAGTAAAACAAAAAAAAAGAGAAAAATAAAGAATAAATTATAATTTTACTCCTAAGCGTTTTAAAAAATTGCAAGTGAGTCCAAATAATTATTAAAAAGTTTAATAGCACAAAATATCCCTACGTTTGGCTCGTAGTGTGAAAAACGTCCATACGTTTTAATTTGGTGAGAATGACGTTTTCTGCAATGAAACATAGAAATATAAATGAAAATGCAAAAAATTGAAACGCAGATACATTTTTTGTAAGAAGTGTCAAACGTAGGGATTTTTTTGCTATTAGACCTTATTAAAATATTTAAAAAAAACTCTCTCTCTCTCTTCTCTCTTTCTCCAAATGGTTCAGTCACCATAGAAGCCAAAAAACTACAGTAAACCATCACCCAAACTGTTGGACCACTATGCCACCGAAAAGCCCCCACTTCCCTCTACACATATCATCCAACGTCCAACCTTGAAACCCTCATGCTAATAGATTTGCTTAGAATTGCAAGTCAAAATACCCAACTTGCGAATGTAAATACTAGCGGCATTACCTATTCTGGAGAGACCCATGTCATTTCCAATACACCAATCGACTATACTCACTAGGGCACCTCTTTTTATCGTCTTAAAATATCAAAAGATGGTTCAACGGTGTGGAAGTTCAGCAGTTTGGACGATGATTGGTCCGAATTTTTTTCACTTCTAACGTAACAATCACATTTGGAGAAGAAAAGAAGAGAGAGAGAGAGAGAGAGAGAGAGTTTTTTTTTTTTTTTTTTTTTTTTTTTGTTATTTTTAGTATTTTAATAAAGCCTAATAGCAAAAAAAAAATTCATACGTTTGACACTTTTTGCGAAAAACGTTCCTATGTTTTAATTTTTTTTTTACATTTTCATCCTTATTTCCATGTTTTATTGCGGAAAATATCATTTTCACTAATTTGAAACGTATGAACATTCTTCACACTATAGGTCAAACGTAGGGAAATTTTGTGCTATTAGGCCCTTTAATAATTATTTAGACTCACTTGCACTTTTAAAAAATATTTAGGAGTAAGATTATAATTTATTCTTTATTTTTCTTTTCTTTTTTGTTTTATTTAAATAGGAGAGTATTTTGGGTATTTTACATTAAAAAATAGTGAAAATAACTTTTTTTGCAATGAATTGTTGAAATAATGGCGAAAATGTCAAAAAATGAAAGGTAAAAATATTTTGCACAATAACATTGAAAAATAGGGTCTTTTGTGCTGATTACCCTATGAAAAAATTTTGAATTTATGTGCAAAATATTTTATTAAATAAATATATTATAAAAAATAAGTATGAGAATTAAAAAAAAAATTATTTTAATATGAGACAACAAGGACTTATTTTGAATAACCCAGCAAATAGGGGGGCCCGATGGCCCTATCCATCTAGCATCGTCCTAAAATTAAGCTTATGTCAGATATATTAAACCCCCGTTTGGAACACATTAACGTAAAAATGAGAATTAAAAATATAATTATTATGGTCTCATACAAAAAATAAAAATTCAAATTTGATAGTTTAATGTGATGGATAACAGTCATATTTTTCATTTTAATAAGAAAATAATGAGAAACAAACGGATGTTAAATATCATTTCCTTCACTTGTTTTCTATGGTTCCATACTCCTTCCATTCTTTTCAATTCTCCCTCAATCACGCTAATCAGACCAGCCCCCTCGTCTACGTTATCACTGCATCCATACCCACTCTTGATTTTTTACATGCTATGAAGCCATGGAAGATGACTATGATATATTAGCTCCCGCGAATTTGCCCGCACTAAATAATATTAAGAAAGATGCCGGCTCCAATATAGTGCTTCTTATCCAGCATCATGAAAAAATTAAATTCAACCTACACTAGAAAAGTGGAATGTGGGCATTGGTAAAGTTTCAAGCCCCATTCTTCTACAGTAATGGTATGAAGACATGACAAGAAGCTGCTTTGAAGTTTGTTTACAAAAAGAATGATCGAAAGATGCAATGCCCACTTCGGAAACCATCTTCAAAAACTCATCCAAACCTAGTCCACCAAATTTGCTCATCCAATTCAAGAAATTTCACAGGGCAAAAGCAGAGCTCCATTGGCCTGGAACCCAAACTCTTCTTTTGCATTGTGAAGCAAGGAAGCAATAACCGGAAAGTCGAGGAAGCAGGTGGCGATCAAGAAAAAATGGCGTTCTAAGCCCACGTAAAAGAGCCAGAGCCTGTCCCCCGCCACGTTGATCCGATTGGTTCCTCGGAATCTGAGGCGGCGATGGATGAGGAAAGGAGACGGTTGAGGCTTTTTGCTTTTCCAGCGTTGAACAATTTGAGTGATCATATTGACTTTCTTGATGGCTTTAGCCATTGTTATGGAATTGCCAAATTAAGAGAATCCATTCATGTTCCTTAAGTTTGCTCAATGTTCCTTATAAACAAAACTAGATACTACTGTAACAATTTACAACAAGACAATGGCGTTCCTCAAGAAGATATGATAGTTCGAGCCCTCAAGAATTCAGTGAATCTTGAAGGTTTAAGTACAATGAAAAACGAAGAAAAGATTCTTGATGAGATTTAATCCCAAAACTTAATATATATTATAATAAATAATTCATATTGACACTTGAATATGTACAAAATTTTTATATAATTAATATTATATTGAATCCACTCGTCTATAATAGTATTGTTGACCCTAGAAATTGGTCCTTCTACGTAGCCAACTGAAAGCTACTCCACTTATTCCTTCTTGCACACAATCAGCGAATAGTCAGGCGCACACGGTCGGAACCAACAGGGGTGGCGGCGGCCGTATACACTCCGATAATCAAGTCAAGTTTGGGTGATCGGAACAGTATTCAGGAGGCTATGCAAATCAACAATAAAGGGGGAGGAGAAAATATATAAACTTGTTATGGAGTGCTATGTATTAAGAGTTTCATTACCCTTACATCTTGTCAAACTTTGGGTATTTATAGGTGGTATGAACCGTTGAATGTGGAACGCGTGTATACATCTGACGGTATGAAGCGTCTGCTCATAGGCGTCAATCAGCCTCGTTTGTAGAGTGGGTGGACAGTTTGTTTCCTCTGAGTTGAATTGACATAGAGTTGATAAGTCACATCAACTAGTCTCATGGAGATATCAAATCAATTTAAACCTTAGGTGCAGGACAAATCTCAAATTGGCAACGGATCTTCTAACCGGGGTCCACTTATCTCGACCTCGGAGGTGAGATGCTTCGACGGATCAGTAGTAGGAATCGCTATATCACTTCGGAGAAGTTTCGGAAGGGTCGTTTTCAGGTCAGAATAAGTGGTGCTGCGCGAGGTCCACTTGATCTCATCCTCGGAGGCGAGATGACACTTCGGTATTCGAGGCGTGTATAATCGGAGCGTAACAAGTATAAGAAGATATATTTTTTTAATTAATTTTTAATCTACAGGCGCATAATTTGCTATAAATAGCTATGACTAAACTTGAATATATAGAAAACATCATCTGCTTGAACACTACATCGTCCCCACTCATCTAAAAGATTACACGAGAAGATAATTTTGTTAATTTATGAAATTATTTTGAACAATTTTCAAGGCAGCCGCAGTTAAGGCCCCTTATGCTTAACATTATTTTATGTTACTAATTGCTATCACGTACGTTGTACGATTTTTGTATATATCGTATTTTTATTAGTGTATATATTTTAATTTTTTTGGAAGGTCTTTGAAACAATATCTAAAAATATTTCCATGATATAAGAAAATAATTGTAATTTATTTTTACAATTACATAGTAGTATGTTATATAAAAAAATATATTTGTATATTTCATACTTGAATGAGAAATATACAAACTATTTTGCTTGTATTCTTTGATAGTGTTGATATGATTGAATTGAGCGTGAAGATTATATTTCTAAATTTTGTGTAATTCAATATTGTAAAATTGAAAAAAAAAAAACTCTCCGCACAGTACGGAGAGAGTTGAATCAAGTGCGGAATAAAAATAAAAAAAGGTGCAGAAAGAAAAAAACTTCTCCCCACAATGCGGAGAGAGTTGAACCATATGTGAAGAGTTTACAACTCTTCGCACAGTGCGGAGTAAAAAAAAAACTTTCCACACAGTACAGAGAGAAAAAACTGTCCGCACAGTGCGGAGAATTGTTTTCAAATTCTTTAATTACAAGTCAAATTTCAAAATTGTAAATTTTTTGTATATACAACGAAAAAGAGTCAAAAAATATGGCTCAAAATCAATTATGTCTTCTTTAAATTTCAGTTACAGCTCAATTTTTGAGCATGTAAATCATATTTATGGTTTTGGAAAGAAGTTTTCTCGTGATTCATACAATGAAACAATATGTAAGTTGTGCAAAGAATGATATATTGATAGTATCATGACATTGCTTTCACAAATGGAGGCCCTTGGGTACCACCCAAATTCTATATTTTACACTTGCTTGATAACAGCTCTTGGACATTAGAAGCGGATACAATTTTCAATGAAATTATACTTTCAAGTTGTAAGCCAGAAATTAAAGTGTTCAATGCATTGCTCAAAAGTTGTTTAAGGAAATGTCTCTTGGAACTTGCAGATAAAGTCTCGAGAGTTTTTGTTTTTCTCTTCACACTGTGCAGAGAAATAGTTTGTTATCCCTCTGCACTTTGCGGAATCTTTTTTTTTTTATGCTCATGTGTGGAGATTTTTTTTTTATCTCATGAGATTTATATATACTAAAATTATTATTATATTTTTATATTGTTGGCATGATGCGTATATGGAAGAATATTTATCAATCACTATAAACAAAATTCTTCACAAAATGTAAAAAATAAAAATGCATAATAAATCTTCTTATTACGCTAATAAAATTAAAATATATTTTTTTTTACAAATAATATAAAAAAATCATTTTTATCTTCAACAAAAAAAAACACATTTAAAAATTAGCAATTTCATAACCACTTTTTTTTTTTAAATTCTCATAAATACAATTATAAAAAATGAAATAATATTGAATTACAACATTTAATACTTAAAAAATTCAATATTAAATAAATTTTATACATTTATAACAAATTATAAATCCATATATGCGGCTTACCGTATTTGCAGGCAGCTTACCGTATATGCTGCCTACCGTATTTGCGGCTTACCGTATTTGCAACCTACCGTATTTGCAAACAACTTATTGTATATGCACTTTATCGTATTTGCACATTACCGTATATGTTGTCTACCGTATTTGCAGCCTATCGTATTTACAAACAACTTACCGTATTTTCACATTACCAAATTTGCAGCTTACCATATATGATGCCTACCGTATTTGCAATTTACCGTACATGCTGTCTACCATATTTGCAGCTTACTGTATTTTTATATACCAATTTTTACACTTACAAATACCGAGAATGCTAAATATCGTACACTCATTTACCAAACCGAATTTCAAAAAAAAAATTCAGAGTTTTATTTTTCCAACATAAGTATAAAATAAATATTAAATATATATGAAACACAAAATATAAATGCATATGACTATGCTGCTCAATCTTCAATTTTCCAATATTGAGTTACACAAAATTTAGAAATATAATCTTCACATTCAACTCAATCATATCAACATTATCAAAGAATACAAGCAAAATAATTTTTATAATCTCGTATATTTCTTATTCAAATATGAAATATATAAGTATATTTTTTTTAGATGACACAATACTATTATACAATTTGTAAAAATAATTTACAATTATTTTCTTATATCATGGAAATATTTCTAAATATTGCTTTAAAAATTTTCAAAAAACTAAAATTTATATACTAATAAAAATACGATAAATGCAAAATTCGTGCAACGCACGCGATAGTTACTGTGCGGAGTTTTTTTTTTTTTTTTTTAAACTTTGCATTGTACGGAGAGTTTGTCAACTCTCTGCATTGTGCGAAGTTTTTTTTTCTTTTTTTATTCCGCACTGTACGAAGAGTCCGCACTTTGTGAGGATAGTGTCCGCACAGAATGTCATCTCTCCGCATAGTTCGGAGAGTTTTGTCATAATGTTTGCCATCTCTCCGCACTGTGTGGAGAGATTTTTTTTTACTTCGCACTATACGAAAAGTTTGCCAACTCTCCATACATGGTTTGTCATCTCTCCGTACAATGCGAAAAGTTTTTTTCTTCATTTTTTACTCAGCACATGGTTTACCATCTTTTCACAATGTGCGAGAGTTTATTTATTCATTTTTTAAAGCTCATGTATGAAGATTTTTTTTTTTTGCTCATGACAGTTTATATTTACTAAAATTATTATTATCTTTTTACTGTTAATGGTATGATATGTGGAAAAATATTTGTTTGACATAAATAAAATAAAAAATAAAAAATGACATCATGTATAGTAATTTTATGACATCATGCATAGTAAAATTGTATTCATTTACTATTGCATGAATAGTAGACCATCCTTTCCCTTTTTATTAGAAGTTAGATAAGTCTAAAAATAATAGTGGGACAAGAGAATTATTCTTTATAAAATAAAATAAACAGTACATATACTAGAAAATGGTTATAAGGTAGGCACGAATTGGACACAATATTTCATTACGGCCAACTTAATTTTTTTTTTTTAAGTTTATTATTTAAAATTAAAATTTTTAAATCATACAAGACCCCATTAATTTTTATTTTCCACCTAAGAAGATATAAAATATATATTTTACATATTTAAGTCAAATCTCAATCTTAAACTATCAAAGTTTAGCGTTTGGCTTAGCTTTAAAAGGTTACTTTTAAGAAAGTTTTAAATTTAACATTTTTACTGGGGAAATTAGATATAAATAAATAACTTATTACGAATGTTACATCTACTTTAATATCAAAATAAGTGAGAAAAATGGCATATCCAAATATATTTAAATTAAAAATGTCATTTTAAAGTGAGTATGAGTAACATTTAAATTTGACCAAACATGTTAGTCTCACTTAAATGAAAAATAGGTTTTAAAGTTGGGAATTGAAATTTCAAATTAATTAAATGAAAATCAAGTATTTGGTCAGACATGAAATAGATAAAATTGCTATACTTTTCAAGTACCAACCGGAACTCCAATATTTAATGTTTGACAAATTTTGATGTCATATTTTCACACTTGTCCTAACAAAAAAAAATAAAAAATAAAAATAAATAATCATTTAACTTTTAGCCCCTGTTTGGTTCCCATTTTTTTCTCATTAAAATGAAAAATATGATCATTATCCATCATATCAAGCTACCGAATTTGAATTTCTATCTCTTGTATAGGACCTGTAACGACTATATTTTTCATTTTCATTTTTCAAAAAATGAGAAACAAACAGGGACT